GGTCCCAGGATGTTTATACTTTGCAAGTTGCATCCTGAGATGAAAGCCTATACAATGTGTTCAACATAATGACTTTGTTCGACTTTCAATCACAGGGGTGAAATGTTTAAAAAAAATTAACAGGGTCTTTTGAACGAATTTTAATCATAAATACTGATATTTTGCCTGTAGCTTTATTTTAGATCACTTTTAAGGTTACAAGTGTGAGTTTTATACCAGGTGAGCGATGCAGGCCCATTGGGCCTCTTGTTGAGGTTAGCTGCCATTTCTGAGCTACAAAGACTATTGGTGTAACAAAATAGATATGACATTCATTAGCACATTCCACAAAGGTACACAAAAATATTACTCTTTCCCAAGTAAGAGTTTGTAATAAGCGATTAGTTATCATGTTTTACTGTACAATTAATTTATAGGAAATTAAATGGCATAAATTTATAACAAGAGATCTAGATATGTAGATGACCTATATGACTGGCTTTCTTGTAAATAAATTTGACTAATTGCACTGCAAACAATGAACTTTTCCTTTTTCTCTTGCACCTATAGAAGCCTGGTCCTGGAGAACATCCCTTACAGTTTAATTACGCAGTGTGGTTCTCGCGAAAAGCACCAGGCAAGCAATCATCAGCCACAAGTTACAACCAGAATCTCAAACTCGTCACAACATTCGCTTCTGTAAGTACTGTTAACAGTTCAAAAATATAGAAAATGAAAAGTATTTGTATAAATTGCAAGTCTAAGACTTTTACATGTTTCATGCTTCAGTGTAAAATCCTTTAACTCATTCACCCCAAAAGACACCTGAACTCTTCCGATTCAAAGTTTGGAATAATTCATTATGAAAGTTCAGGGGTGAATGAGTTAAACCATGCTAGGAAAATGATGATACAGCGATTTATTTATTGTATCGTGGTACCTATTCATATTTTGTGTTTTCTGATCTTGTGGAGATGTATTTCTCGGATATATGTTGCTGTGGGTAATGTAAATTTTAAAATGACAAATTGTTACTCCTGATCTTTGATTAACCCTTTCACCACTGTAGACCAAAATGGACTCATCTGGATCAATGCATGGTAGAGTCTACTAAAGTTACGTAGGGGTGAAAGGGTTAATATGACAGGCCGATATGCTACGCTGGGCACCTTCAGCATGGACAATCAGTGAGATAGCAATATAAGGTCTGCATTAGATCTGGCTATCGCAAGGAGGCAATTACACATGCCCGGTCTTCAGCACACGTACACACATACATGCATACACAACACAGACGGTGGCATAAATGCACTTTGCTGTTGATTGGATGTTTAACTGTATAAAACAAGACAGGAATGACCTTTGAATGTATTTCATATCAAACATAGCAGATCTTATCTTGACGATTGTTTTGTCCAAGTAGAGTAACCTACCTTTGTTTTGTTGTAGTAGAGTAACCTACCTTTGTTTTGTCGTAGTAGAGTAACCTACCTTTGTTTTGTCCAGGTGGAGCAGTGGTGGAACCACTACAGTCACTTAGTGCGACCTAGTGACCTCACTGGACACAGCGACTATCACATATTTAAAGAAGGCATCCGTCCAATGTGGGAGGTTTGTATATATATATAAAAAAACAACTAGAACAGACGGTAATCAAGGAATCACTGAAAATAAATGGTATTTACCGTAAGCAGTATTTCACTTATTAAGTGCCCCCCATGCTCCCTATCTTTTCGTTTTGTCCAAGTGTCCAATCCATTCACAATAACTTACCAACTTTCATATGAAAGTATGTCTGTCATAGTGTTTTTTGAGAATTTGGGAAGGTTTTGTAAAGCCCTCATTTTGATTTACCCAAATTGCAAAGTGCCCTGGGCATTTGTTAGTTTGAATACAGTATTGTTAACTTCCTGCACATTTGTCCAGTCCCAAAAAAACTAAGTTTGATTGTACATCATATTTCTTTTATCAGTAAACTCATAACTGTTCCTAGACATAATTAAAATTCCAGTGTAAACCTTGAATAATGCACTTCATTTGCTTCCTGAATTAGTGCTTACAAATTTCGAGGTCCGTTTTGGTGAAAAAATGTTAATGTCAATGTAACAAGGTTTTACTGGTCACTAATTACTGTAGTATTGCCAGGTTTTACTGGTCACTAATTACTGTAGTATTGCCAGGAACACACTGTTAGAAATAACACATGCAGTATCATCGGCCAAAAGTTGGACAGGAAGATTTTTGGCTGTAATATCTTTTAGTTAGACAGAACATTTTATAGTGATTAGAAGTTATAGAGTATATTTTTTTGTTATATTCGCAGCCGGCAAAGTAATAAAAAGTAGAAACCTTGCAAATTTTCTAATTGTTTCATTAAAGAGATTGTTGGAACCTTTTCATGTTCATAGTGCTACCGTCCTTAAATGACCATAGCTGTTGATAGGACGTTAAACAATACTAAACCAAACCAAACCAATCTTAGTGCTGTGTGAATTTTTAACCCTGCAAATTTGTTCTGTTGACAAAACAGATTTTTTTTTAAGCCAGATACATGATAAATCTTTACTTGGCGTTTTGTTTCTATTTCAGGATACAGCCAATAATAAGGGGGGTAAATGGATTGTACGATTAAAAAAAGGCCTGGCGTCTCGGTGCTGGGAAAACTTAGTGCTGGCCATGCTTGGGGAACAGTTTATGGTCGGGGAAGAAATCTGTGGAGCAGTCATCTCTATTAGATACCAGGTGAGTAGATCTTGTTAAAAACATAAGATTTGTAGGCCCATCGAAATTCATATGAGAATGATACAATTTGTAGTCTTCTTCTTTCCGAAGAATATTCACTCATCCACCCCTACATGTTTAAACTGGACCTGCCAGATTTGTAAGGTTCAAATGTGACTTTAGGGGTGAATGGAATAAAGGACATCTACTTCTACGTATACCCTTAGCATGGAAGACTTTGATCGTCAAGTAATCTTGCAGACATAGAAGATTGTCATTTGCATGGTTAGAAGAAACGTCTTGACGAACACTGCATATCATATCCTCCTATGAATTCAAAAGTTTTGAAAATGAAAAATATTATATTCAGCTAATTTTACAATTATTACGTACATTTTTGTCTTTGCCGCCACGAAGTAGCGGATGAAGACTTTCTGGCGATGGCGGCAGTGTCAACATTAAGTTTTTGCGTTTAACTCAATTTCACTGAAAGTATAAGTGCTACACCAACCAAACTTGGACCATAGATGCATCTTAGGTAGTAAATCTCAACCCATGCACCAAATGCTGGATGCGTACCTTTCATGGTCCTTTGACCATGTCAGCATTTCCATCAACATAAGTTTTTGCGTTTAAGTTAGTTTCGCTGATATGTGCATTGATGTTCAAAGCGGGGCACAGGTGGGACATATCAATCCGAAAGGCTTGTTTTGTAAGTAGTATATCAAGGAAACATCAGCCATTCTACCAAAAGTAATACTTTGATTAGCTTCCCTAGAATGAAAAGTAATGAAATTAAACATTTGCTTAAACTTGTTTTTTTGCAGGAAGATATTTTAGCATTATGGAATCGTACGGCCAGTGACACAGTAACAACGTCGAGGATCCGTGACACTCTCAAACGAGTCCTCAACCTTCCTCCCAACACAATAATGGAATACAAGACGCATAATGACAGCATGAAGTGAGTACCTAAGTACTGGGTGACCATCGTCAGAAAGTTGTCACTGTACAACTGAAATGATTTCTTTAAGTGGGATGGGGTCTATATTTACTCCAATATAGTGTGGGTGGCTAGGGAAGTTGAATTAAGGTTGTATGGTGGAGACAAGTGGCTTATGTATAATGTTATACAATATGGGGGGGTAGGTAAAGGGGGTGAAGTAAAGGCTGTATGGTGGGGACCAGTGGTTTATATATAATTTTAGACAATATGGGTAGGGAAGTGAAATCAACATTCTTAAATGACCATAGCTGTTAATAGGACGTAAACACAAACAAACCAAAACCAAAATTATTTTGATTAGGGTATTTTAGCCTCATTTTAATGTGTGTTTTTTTTTCTCTTTCATTCTTTTTCAGAGACAATTCAAGTTTCAGAAATACAGACATTTTTATGCGGTGACAGAAAGGATGCAGCTTCTAACTGACTTTTAACAAATTCTGTCAAATAATGGGTAGCGTCGTCGTCTCAAAGTGATCGTCCTCATGGCTGTAGGACTTCTTACAGACACAAAGTCACAACATCAGTTACCCTGGCAACTCGACGCACATTTCCCGGCAATTCATATATTTCCAGTATGTCTAACACGCAGCATAATTTGTTTTGCATCTGTGGAGATGGAGTGTACATGTTGATTGTGTAAAACAGAGATCGTGTGACGTGTCCGAATGTTGACACGAAATAACTAGGTGAAATAATGGGTATTTATTAATACCAACAGAGGACCTGAACTGAAAGTGAATCTTTGTTTCACCATCTGCAATGCCATTCATCATTTTGGATCTGAAATCATCATGAGTTGATACTGTATACTGGTCAAGTAATTTTAACTGCCGTTTAATTTTCGCCATTTTTGCCCTTGGTAGTGAAGGCGAATTTATCATGACAGCGAATAATTGTTAACAAAATAATAATCGTAGTAATTAAATGTTAAGGGGGATTTTCATATTGGGGTGAAAGTGGATTTTACTGTTGAAGGGTGACCAATTTTTACTTGACGAATATTTCCCGGTATAATTATTGATGTTTTTAAAATGTATGCGAGTGAGCAGTACCTTTTAATTGAAGTGTGTGCTCTTCCAGAGGAACTCTAGAGTACACTTGAATTTAAGATAAATGGCTTTATACAGTGTAATGCATAAGGGAAAAAATAAGTCACCCGTTCGAGTACTGTAACATTACTCATTTGAAATATTTGATGCAAGACCTTCTGCACATTTCTTCATAAATGTTGGATCCTGTGTGTTCATGTTGCCCATTGCTCTGTGAACTTATCAAGGCAAGAAAACAAAGTTTGATATCTATAGAAAATTCAGAGCTATCAGATGATAGCTTTGGATTGATATTATTTGACTGTTTGTGTTGTCCAGTACGATACCTCTTGCTACTTTTATCGGGAACATCTTGCCCATTCTTACTCTGTGTGGTTCTGAGTGTTGTTCTTACTTGTACTGTGTTAATAGGTAGTAATATACCGTATTTGTCCGGCAATAAGCCCACGCCCGGTAATAAGCCCACCCATATATATTACAGTTCAGTATAAATGTCAACAAATGCTGTTTCTTTGTCCTGTAATAAACCCAGCCCCCTATTTTGAGTCTGAGATTATGTGTTGGGGCCCCCTGGGCTTATTGCAGGATAAATATGGTACTGTCACTTTATGTACTCTATATAAAAGTAACTTGTTAAAGATGCTGTGTCCTAGCTATTCCCCTGAATTGGCTGTCCAGGGTGTTGTTAGTCCTCTATCAGCTGTGTGTTAGTCCGAAAAACTAAAACACCCTGTAGACTAAATCCCTTGGCAATTTCTGTAACTTTCCTATGAAAATAACCAAGCTAATCAGGTGTGGTGGACAGAACTAGTATTCAATCTTGACCACTCAGTTTGTTAATCAGATGATAGTGAAAATAAAAGAGAAGATAGGGCTTTCTCAATATCTTTGGAATTTAAATTTCAAGTTTTGCATTTTAAAAATGTCTGTCTGGTCCATATCTGTGTAGTAAACAGTTGACGACAAGGATATAATGAAATGGCGACTTACTGCAAGGCTTACGTTTTTTGTGGTTCTTATTTTTGCATGGTCAATGTTTTTCTGCAAGAGAATTTTAACATTTTCTTCAGGTTAGTAAGTATGGATTATGAAAAGTTCTTTTTACACAACCAATACCGTAAAAACCTATGTAAGGGGGGGGGGGGGGGCGTAAAATACACAGGTATAAGCAATTTCAGTAACTCTTATTGGTTGTGTAAAAAGATTTTTTTATAATGCAAGAGAATGAATATTTAAATATTTCCCCCTTCTCCTCCCCCTCCCATTTGTCACAGGAGAAAATGCTGAAATTTGATCTTGTAAAATTGAAGCATGTTACCATATATGCTAATTAGGTAAAATGTCAGATAGAAACAGACAGTGGTGGATTATTTTCCCTGAGGTCACAAGTAGGACAGTAATTACATATATGGCCTTTAGAGATCATACTTCAGTATAAAAATTGTCCATCATGTGGACACCTACACGACTGGCACCCAGAGATCATACTTCAGTATAAAAATTGTCCATCATGTGGACACCTACACGACTGGCACCCAGAGATCTTACATCAGTATAAAAATTGTCTATCATGTCGACACCTACATGACTGGCTCCCAGAGATCTTACATCAGTATAAAAATTGTCTATCATGTCGACACTTACATGACTGGCTCCCAGAGATCTTACTTCAGTATAAAAATTGTCTATCATGTCGACACCTACATGACTGGCTCCCAGAGATCTTACTTCAGTATAAAAATTGTCTATCATGTCGACACCTACATGACTGGCTCCCAGAGATCTTACTTCAGTATAAAAATTGTCTATCATGTCGACACCTACATGACTGGCTCCCAGAGATCTTACTTCAGTATAAAAATTGTCTATCATGTCGACACCTACATGACTGGCTCCCAGAGATCTTACTTCAGTATAAAAATTGTCTATCATGTCGACACCTACATGACTGGCTCCCAGAGATCTTACTTCAGTATAAAAATTGTCTATCATGTCGACACCTACATGACTGGCTCCCAGAGATCTTACTTCAGTATAAAAATTGTCTATCATGTCGACACCTACATGACTGGCTCCCAGAGATCTTACTTCAGTATAAAAATTGTCTATCATGTCGACACCTACATGACTGGCTCCCAGAGATCTTACTTCAGTATAAAAATTGTCTATCATGTCGACACCTACATGACTGGCTCCCAGAGATCTTACTTCAGTATAAAAATTGTCTATCATGTCGACACCTACATGACTGGCTCCCAGAGATCTTACTTCAGTATAAAAATTGTCTATCATGTCGACACCTACATGACTGGCTCCCAGAGATCTTACTTCAGTATAAAAATTGTCTATCATGTCGACACCTACATGACTGGCTCCCAGAGATCTTACTTCAGTATAAAAATTGTCTATCATGTCGACACCTACATGACTGGCTCCCAGAGATCTTACTTCAGTATAAAAATTGTTAAAATTCTTATACATACCTACAGGTTGCTGACATGAACACGACTGTAACCTGCAGATTTAATGGTCGATATCAAATGAGACACATGGATAAATATTACAGCAGTCCAATATTAATGTTGTTGAAAGGAATTATTGTTTTATTCAAAATAAATTTTATGAAAAAAAATGTTCTTGTTCTGAATTGTTCTTTTTTAATGCAATATTTAATCCCCCTCATTTGACAGTAATGCAAGTTTTGAGAGGATGTTCAACACTTCTGAAAACTTGAAACAATGAAACCAGACTTTACGGATACCTGGGACGTATTTTAGAAACCGTTAGCATGCTCAAGCATGAAAAAATTGTCAAACCTCTTTCCTGTAATTTAAGGAAATCATGTGATTTACAGTTTAAAAGTAGGTTTAGTGTAGACAATGAAAATGTTTTTCAGCCTTAAGTCTCAAAGTTGCTAAAAATTATGGAAAATATTGTAAAATTGGAATATTTTATCATCAAAACGTAAGAATTGAGCTTGAGCACAAGAACAGTTTCATGAATACGGCCCCAGTCTGATGTAAAGGACGTCCTGCGATATTTGACTTGATTTTCTGACCTAAACAGTTTTTAATCCTGACTTAACAGTCTAACTAAATGATTAAATCCTATGAGTGTAACATTCCTCTTAAGTTCGAGGACATTTTATTTTTTGTTCAGAAGTTACAGACAAGATATCAACAGGCAGAAGAAATGGCTACCATGCCAGGGTCATTCAAGACCAGCTGGGTTACATTGGCATATCCTGGTGAAATGGTTCAGGTGGCACAGAAATATTCCACGATAAACGGAACGAACTATAGGCAGAGCTAAATATTGCAGTTTTGGAGAATAAATAACAATATACAAAGAATAGTATGTCCTTCTTTCATGCGTCCAATAAATTATATAACGTATCGCAAAATCTACATGTGCCTTGACCCTGTTTTATAAAGAAATAACGCAAACTAGCAATAGTCAGTATTTTAGTGTTAGGCACGTCTGGACCCCTCAATCTTCATGTGTAGTAAGACGAGGAATAGTGTAAAAGATTTGCATCGATTAGGTTGCCTTACAAGCGTCAACTGTTGGGAACTTTCCTTTAGCTCAGCTGGAGAGCAAAGGGTAGAGGTTCGAGCCCCAGCAACAGCACTATCTTCATCACTATTCCTCGTCCTAGTACACGTGCCGAATATTCCTGAGGTCAGCCTTGGTTCAGATCTGCGCCAATCTTTTTCTTTCAGGTTCAACTGTTTCAACTGGTTGAACCGGATACACGAAAGGGGTCCCGACAGAGAGTACAGCGCCCGAGTACTGCTGAACAGGCCTAGGTCAATTAACAAAGTGACGTGGTCTAACTAGAGAACGATAAAACTTACTTGGTTGTATGTAATGTGAATGTTAGAGAAATAAGCTGTGATGTGAATGTTAGGTCAACTACGGTTCAACCTACAGCTAGACATCTTCTGTGTACTCAAATCTCTTGGAAGTGTGGCAGATTGTTTTTCGGCACATATGTAGCTCATAACGGAAAGCCAGATGATGGTAAATTGTTGATGTGTAATGTTGTTCGCTTTGTCAAAGACAAGTGCAAGATGTTCCTTGGGCAGGGGTGATCCGGTCAGCACAATTGCTCCCAATTCTGTGTTAATAGAAAATAGATATAACATGACATTTAATTGTGCATGAACACCAATCATTTTAACCGAGTTAAGTTACCATCTATGTTCCTTAGGTCAGGTAAAATCCTTCTTAAAAGAGATTGTCAGTAGGAACAGATTTTCGTTCATCTGTTTTCAAAAATTGCCAACTTCAGACCAATGTTGTAAGATATGTAATATGTCCTTTTGAAGGAAAGTTGTAAATTTTATTATTGATGGTTCAACATACAGTATTTGAGTTTCCACTGGCTTTTCCTCTCACGTTGCTAAAAGGCTAAGAACTCATTAAAGCTGTCTTATCTGCCACAGATCCCATATGACAGGCACCAAAGAGTCTTTGAAAATTTTCTGGCTTTTTTACACAACACATTCGAATAAAAGCATAAAGAAAAGAAAAACAACATAATTTTTTTTAAAACATATTTATTTTCCTTCTGTTCCACACAGAGCAATGAATTGTAAACACTCTGCTCCAATCAAATCAATCGTTACTGACCAATACAAGCATTCTCCAATATTATGTAATGAGCATTTTCATTGGTAGATCAGCACTACAAAAATGGCACAATCAACCTTTTGCAGCAAGACTTAAGTATGCAACCAAGAACCGGACAAAGGTGGATATAATGGTATAATAATAATAATATTCAACATATTTAGCACGAGATACGACTGCCATGACCAAAGTTTGTGACAAAAAAATACATTCAACAGTTATCTCCCTTTGTGACATCTCTGTATGTACAATAGAACGGCCACTAGGATGAAGGTGCTGTATTTAAATGAAATGTTGAATCGATACTGGATAAAATGAAATGATGACTTTACACAAGTATGCCTGGTATATATGAAAGATCTAGTTGTTCATGTCAACCATTACATAAATAATGCATATTGGATGAAACTGACACAAAATTGTATGCCGTAACAAATAACTCTCGATAGGAAATGTAAGCAAAATCTGTTCTAAGGTTCAACTGACTTTAACTCATTCACCCCTGAAATTTCATAATTAACTATTCCAACCTTTGAATTGGAAGAGTTTAAATGCGTCTTCAGGGGTGAATGTGTTTAAATACAACATGCATCCAATATTTAGTGAAGGAATGTAATCTACTCTCTATTGAAATACAAATATTTGTGGCATCTAGATTATCTAAGTTATAATTGCTGTAATCTGGTCTATAAAAGGAACTAGAATAATTTTATGAAAATTTATTGTCAACCTTTGCGCCAACACATGAATACAATGTATAAACACATGATGTACAACAATTTTGAGGGATTTTTCATTTTCAATTGTAGACATGAACGATCATGGAGATTAATTTATGCAAACAAATATTTCTAAATCAACAGTTCTGCATTCTTTGTGCAAAGTGTTATGAAGAAAGACCAATAACCACAGATAATAATTTGTGAACCGCTTTCAGACGACCTAAGATCTAGGTTGTGATAAAGCGGTATATAATATAATAACTGCAAATTATTACTATTAATTATTATTAATAAGAAAATCATCAACTAAGATTACACATGATGGTATTAAATTTTAAATACCATATTTTATCTTTTTAAGTCTGAGGAGCCTGGCCCGAAGAAGGGGATGGATTTTTGGCTTGTCCTGGTATTAAAATATTTGTTGTATACACAGAAAAAGATATTTCTGTGCAATTCACTGAACAAAATTGGATTGGCTTATTATAAATACAGTCATGGAGGAGACATCATAGACAAAATATGTGTAAAATTCTTCTGAACACTAAAGCTGAAAGTGATGCAACATGAGAGAGTCTCGTAAAACATTGGATAATTGGTTCAGTAAAAGATACACCAGTTGCAATACTAATTTACACTAATCCCTTGAATTACAATTCCTGTAAGTAAGAAAACCAGTACTGGGCAGCAGTCATATTTGAGAATTCATTTCATTCGCTACTTTCTGTGGGGAAAAAAACCTATTTACATAGATAATCTGTATGTACACAGAAAAATATATCTCTTTGTCTATATATAAACTCAAAGAGCTTGTGACATTCCGAACGTTTATACCAGGTTTTATTTTTAACTCATTCACCCCTGAAGACACATTTGAACTCTTCCAATTCAAAGGTTGGAATAGTTCATTATGAAATTTCAGGGGTGAATGAGTCAAATACAAGATTGTGATGTGACGATGTAGAATTAACACTTCAGCAATGAAGATGATTATAAGGATATGAAGGTGATTTTACCATAAATTAGTATCATTATAAAGATTACACTTCAAGTATGTACAGTCGTCTGCCAATATCTACAGGGCAGTAAACAATTACCTCGATGACGAGGCGAGACCCCCAGGATATGATCAAACATTCTGGATTATAATTCGTAACCATCACAATTTCTTTACACGGTCAACAAGTATCCACATCAAACAACCGACGTTAATTAAAAAAAAAAAAAAATGAAAATGAAATGAAGTATATATATAATTGAATTTCTTATTGCTGGTATAGCATGCATATGATAGTAATTTATATAAATTTTGTCAATTCATAGTCTAATATTATAAATACATAATACAGCGATGCCAGTCACTTTCATACTCATAGTTCAAACAACAAAATAAAATTCAACAGCATTTCCTTTTCAGAATTTAAAGCTTTAAATGAGCACTAGGAACATGTGTTAGATTTCAATGAACTGTAACAACTTATCTTTAAAAAGAAAACGGAACTTCCAAAATAACTCCTTTAAGTCATTCACCCCTGAAGTTTCATAATGAACTGTTACAACGTTTGAATTGGGAGAGTTCAAATGTGTCTTCAGGGGTGAATGAGTTAATTAATACAAAACATTTGTATTGTGATGCTAGCACCTTTACATTTTCCGCAGATTATGGAGACCTTGGGCATTATCGTTTAGGCAGAACTGGTTGTCTATTTTTAAAGTGACTCACCCACCTCATTAATTAATAAAAGAATAATACAAATTTGTTTCCTTCCAATTTCAAAACTAAACATGCATTTAATTGATCAAGTTTACAGTATTAAACAGAACACAAAGCATTTTGTTTACACATGTATCACTTCTTATGCCCATCATACTGTAAGTTACACTAGTATCTTGCGCTGTGTTACCGCTGACACTACAAATTTGTTATGTCGTACATAATTTCACTATTTCTCAAAAAAGAATAAATATGCTACAACCGACATGCCGATGGATCTATAATTCAACTAGCCGCTTACTTTGCCTTTTTAAAGACTTCAGAAAATACCCTCTATGAAGGGCATACCATACATGTCTACCTGGTTCAATCCAGAAATATTTACAGGATGAAAACTGTTATCAGTACTTTTAGTTCATCAACAAAGTCATACATTTGGCAAATCCTATTTTTCATATAAATTATATAAGTCATTTTATACTTTCCTAGCTACCTGCTGGCGTGAACTTATGGGACAATCATCAACTTTAAGATCAAATGCATCATGGAAAATTTAGTTTCCCTCAAAAAAGAGAGAAAAATCTGGGGAACGTAATCGACGCCCATTGTAGAACATGTTCAGTATAAAAAAAACTTGGGCGGAAATGTCGACAGTTCTAAAAGGATTTTTAAAATCATTATGGTATATTTGATCCCAAAGTGAGGCAAACCCGTTAAAAATTAATTAATTTACATTATAATTTGTACATCTTGTCAAACAGAAGAATAACATTAGAATTAAGAAAATTAATTAAAAAAAAAAAAAAAGCAATTGGGTGAGTCCAGGTATATTATTTACATTTGTACAAAAAATATACTACAATGTTTAACACACCTCAACCTCTATCTGTCAACACATAAACACTGTTCACATTGGTGACCGGTCCTAGGCTCATCAACTGGGGCAAAACTAGCTTTGTACTGTCTAGTATGAAGGCTACTGAGCCATCTGTCACAGGAGGATTTTAACCCATTCGCCCCTACAGTCACTTTTGAACCTTACTAAATCCAAGACTGGGAAAATCAAGTTTAGATATGTAGGGGTGAATGAGTTAACTCTTTCACCCCTGAAATTTCATAATGAACTATTCCAACTTTTGAATTGGAAGAGTTCAAAATGTGTCTTCAGGGGTGAATTATATAATCAACACAATCGAAAGTTATTACACATCAATCAAGAGACACTTTTTTTAATCATTTTACCTAGTTCATATTAGCAGCAACTTTAACCAATCGAAACATATGTAACATCACGGGGGAAAAATCATTGAACCAGTCAAATTAATTGCTATATATATTCGATTAATGATAATTTAAGCCATGCTAAAATACATGGTAAGATATAAGGAGGAGGCATCCGACCATGAACACATTTGGATTCAATTCAATTCAAACAAGAAATTAAAACACAAAACACTGGCAGCAATGTCTTTAGCACAGAGACAGGTACCAAATCCTCCAGTTAGTTCTCTAAACTTCAATAAAGCCAAGCAATTGTGGAGTTGAAATTTTACATTTTAAAACCTGAAACAGTCAATGTATTGAAACAGTGAGAAATACGATTTTAAAGTTTATATAAAAAAAAAAATCATGTTTCTACATAAAAGATAATCTCACATTTGCATACTTTTAGAGCATCACTTCATATGTTAAAATAAACATGAAATAATGTTTATAAAAACATTGTAGAACATGACATCAATAAAGTGGCCATTTTATTTTCATTTCTGATTAACTTTTTTTTTTTTTTTTTTTTTTTTTTTTTTTTTTTTATCTTATTTGCTATGTAACTTATAAAGTACATGGATTACTGACCAATTTGTAAAATAAAATTTTGCAAAGAAACAGAAAGTGGGCAAATTTAACCCTCCAGCAGCAATTTTTTGAATTGATTAACAATGTAAGAACAAACAGCTGGTAATGAGTTTCTGCAAGGGTTGAAGGGAGGTAACTCATTTCCAATTTATTTCAAGATAAACAAGTTGATGCAATTGTTTTTAAAACTAACTATTTTGAAATGGATTAGCTCAAGATGAATAGGAATTCTAAAATAGCAAAACAAAGCCAGGTCAAAACATTTAGATGATGGTGAATGGTGAGTTATTCCATAAGCATGTTTTACATTTAAAAAACTATATGACGATATAAAATTGCCCGATTGGCTTGAAATAGCCGATAGAGGTATATAATCTGTATGCTACACGTGTAAAACATCAAATCTACCATACCTTACGCAACCCTTGTGAAATGTGACGTTAACAGCCATTTAATACAAAACATGGTGCCTTTATTTGGGTACGTCTATGAAATATGAATCTAAATTCTTAAAAATCCAGATTTATGGCTAAAAAAACTGTTTTTCTCTCTCAATTTAATTGCTTCACTACTGAAAATTGCATGCATTCTGCAAGAGATTCGTGTTTGTCAAGTGGTTAGCTTTGATAATGTACAAGTCAATTAAAACAAAAATGACAATTTTTAAAATTTCACAAACATCCGGTTGCGAAAAAGTTTGCAAACAACCTTCCAGGCAAAAAACCCCAACACTTTTGAGACTGAATAAAATACTTGCGAAGAACAATTTTATATATCATTAATTTCTTTCCCGTCTCAGAAGATCTGATTCAAGGTGTGTGGTGGAGAGTAATGTGAGAAAACTGTCTGTGAAATGGATACATGATATATGATGATGAATGTCCAAACCCTGAAATATCCCGTCACTTACACCGATACAGGGTTTGTCTGAACACAATTTCCATCTATTTGATATATTTAAATCTACGATATAACAAACTGTTTAAAGCATTGTCATCAACTAATTAATCCATTGCACTTTGAATTCTGTTTGTGTAGTATTACAGCCTTGAGGCCATCCATGATCGTCGTGAAATATTTTCCAGGCAGCATACAGCATACAAAGTACGGCACAGAGAAACCTTTTCCTGTGTTTTTTCGACACGAAAAAGGTCCTGCACAAAGAACCCATCTCCAATGGTTTTCGTAACATTTTAAAAGTGCATCTGTCTTGGCAGTCGTTCCATGTTCCGTCAGAAACCTCAGCAAGTTTATTACATATATCCTAGAATGTGTAGCACAAGATGAAGTGTTTGAAAATGCCCTGTTTCTGCTCAAAACCTTTGTTTATCTCACACAAGACAAGTCTCTTTCTTCAGGTCATGATGATTGCGCATCGTGTAAAAAAGTGTTCAAAAAGTCAAATGAAGGTCGCGAAGGAGGGTTTGCATTCCAACACTGTAATATGACGTCGTAGACTGCTGCGGGGCACGCCTCCGGACGAGGTATTCGATAGCCCTGCTGCACGTTGTCAAACGCTTCCTTACTCCCTAAACCTGAGAAGACAAGAACATATAGGTTTATATTAACCCTTTCACCACTGTACATCACAATGGACTCGTCCAGATCAATGCATGATAGAGTTTACTAAACTTACAAAGGGGTGAGAGGGTTAAGGTAACGTGATGTATAGAGGTTGATGGGGTGGGGGGAATAATATGATAAATGCTGGTCGGTACAATCATCATCCCACATCGTCCTAGTCTTTTCAGCGAAGTTTGATCAGAACAGGCCGAGTGACATTAATAACCTGCCAGCTTTCGGCTTTTGTAGATTTATGCATGAAATTCATTTAAAAAGGTAAATTGATCAAAACAAAATCAAGGGTGAACATTTTGGCCTTCAGCCTGTTCTTAATGAAATCTTTGCTTGTGTCTCACATTACACAATGTCTTCCTATGTAATGTAATTGTTTCTATTAAGTTTCATGTTACAATTATGAAAATCTTTGCTGTCTTAATCTTGTCAAATTGAATTGATGTTAAAAGATTAGGGGAAAACAGTTGTAAATCAAGAAAAAGTCCATTATGATTGTCAAACAAAATGAAGAATAACTGCCGCACTTTACAACTGTGCGATCCTCACCTTCGTACGGCTCCTTGCCGTAGGAGAATATTTCAATTAGCACTATTCCAAACGACCACACATCGGCCTTCGTGCTGTATTTGTTGCACATAAGGACCTCTGGTGCCATCCATTTGATGGCCATTTTCAGCCCTACAATGAAAAACAAAATGATAAACCTGTGTTAAAGGATTTTGGTTTTATTTTGTTTTAACATCCCATTACCAACTTAGACCATTTGAAATAATACAGACCATTTTTTGTTCCCTTCAATTCTATACAGTGCTTAAATATATTTTTTCTAATTAAACGTGAAAATTAGGGCTGCACCGATATATATCGCAATATTTTGAATATGGTATGACACTCAATATTTTTTGGGGGAGGTTACGATACAACTAGGATAGTTTCTGGATTTTGTTGTTTCTGAATTTAGTCTTCTCATATCGGATTCAACATGACGAGTGACAGCCTGCACGTCAAAAGGCATGAATTGTGAGAAACTATAAAGTCATGCCCATTTTGGACAAAGTCTATTTCCAGTTATAATATTGCAAGTAAACATTTGCAACATATCTTTTCTTGTTGCTTCTAATGTATTGTGATACGTATCGTATCGTCAGGTTAATGTATCGTTGCAGCCCTAGTGGAAATAATCCTGTAGACCTTGTGAAAATAATCATGCACGAATTGAAAGCTATAGATAGTACAAAGTAATGCAAAATCTTGTTTTGTGTATTTCAAAGGTGGTTTTTTTCGTACGCACTCTGATATACCAAATACGGTCGTAATGGGACTGATCGCGCTCATCATCTTATGAAAATAAAGACTGTCATACCTCTTCTGAAGTTGAAGTCCGGATCATCTACAAGTTTGGTCATCCCGAAGCCAGCAATTTTCACCACATTCATTTCGCCCACGAGTATGTTCCTCGCACCGAGATTCCGATGAACAAACTTCTCTTTCTCCATGTACGTCATGCCATCGGCAATCTGTGAACCAAATAAATGTTCAATTAATTTGTCATTCATTGAAGTGGTTTTAGAAAGGCCCTGAATTACAAAAAAGTCCCCCCAC